ACATATAGAGAGACAACATGCTGTTCATACATAGAAAGAGGGAGAGAGAGAGAGAGAGAGAGATAACGAGAGGGACAGAGAGATAGCACAACAACAAACAAGGGAGCATACAAGAGAAAGAGACAAGGAGGGAGGAGCTGTCGATAAACAACTGATCCATATACGCATCTCCATAATACAGGGCATATTATACGTCTTGAAGAGATTCGAGGCACACGAAAAGGGACGCGTCAGAGAGAGAGAGAGAGAGAGAAAAATAAAGAGGGATATATATATATAGAGAGAGAGAGAGAGAGAGAGAGAGAGAGAGAGAGAGAGAGAGAGAGAGAGAGAGAGAGAGAGAGAGAGAGAGAGAGAGAGAGAGAGAGGAGAGAGAGAGAGAGAGGAAAGAAAATAGGGGGGATGAGAGAGAGCGAGAGAGAGAGAGGATGAGAGAGATGAGAGAGAGAGAGAGAGAGAGATGAGAGAGAGAGAAAGAGACGAGAGATAGAGAGAAATAAAGAGAGAAAGAGAGAACAGAGAGAGAGAGAGAGAGAGAGAGAGAGACATCGAAACCACATATACATATACAGGGAGTGGGGGGAGGGGGGGTGAGGGGGGAGGTGCGTGGCGAGGGCGGGGCGGGCCGTTCCAGTCGCATCCTTCGCGAGCGCCCGCGAAGGGAAGGCTGTGGGCCACCGTCGAGTGCGGGAGGGCCCTGTAGGGGGGGGCAGTCAGGCTGGGCTCCTCGTCGAGACGAACCGCTGACGAGGCTAGAAAAATGCGCCCGGGGGAAACGGCGAGAGGGGTGAATGGCCAGTGGGGCGACATGTGCGGGCCAGGAAGCGGCGCGGCTGAGTCATCGACGAACTTTTGATTTGGCCGCGCCTCCCAGGATCATTGCAATCTGAGGGTCGGGCGCCCTTTCAAGCGACGCGCCACTGTCGGTGCCCCCCCTCCCTGCCCCTTTTCGGGAAGGTCGGTTGTCCCTCCGCGCTCCTTTTCGGGCGCGTCGGTGGAGCGCGACGGCGCCGACAGGCCCCAGAGGGGGCCGCCGACGGCGGCCAGGGGGTCACCGACAACGCCGCCGACGAGCATCAGGGGGGCTGGACGACAACGCCGCCGACGCGCTTCAGGAGGGTCACCGACAACGCCACCGACGCGCCCCAGGTTGGTTCCCGACAAGCCCCAAGGGGGTCACCCAAAAGCCCAAGGGAGGTCACCGACACGCCCCAGGGGGGGCACTGACAAGCCCGTGGGGGGGGGCGGGGAAGGGTGCCGACAAGTCCCAGAGGGGTCGCCGACGCGCCCCAGGGGGGGCCGCCGACGAGCGCCCCACCGACAAGCCCCAAGGAATCACCGAAGTAACCCTGGGGGGGTGGGGCGCCGAAGCCTCTCGTGGAGGGGGTGCAGAGGGGGGGGCAATGGATCTCGCGCATCAGGGGGCCCACCGACAAGGCCGAGGGGGGGGGGGGGCGCCGACGAGCGACGCGCGCTATTTTTTGGGGGGCCGCGCGCCGGCGCGCGCCAATGGGGGGGGGGTCGGGACGCGCTCGCCATGTGGGGCGCAGGGGTCGCCGCCCATGAGCCCTGGGAGGGGGGGGGGGGCGCCCCGACGAGGCACCGCGGGGGGCGCGACGCGCTCCAGGAAGGCGGGGGGCACTGAGTCGCGAGGCACTCACCGGCCCCCCCCTTCCCTTCCCGAGGTCGCCCAAACTATGGGGTCCGCCAAAGGAATTTCGCTGGCGAGCTCCGGGGGGGGAGTGCCGACGCGGCGCGCGCCTGAGACGCCGATGCGCCCCGGGGGGGGGATTGCCAAACCTTGTCGGCATCGGCGGTATCGGTGCTTCGAAAACACTCCAGGACAGCTCGAGAGACCTCCAGAACGACCGTAAGACGGTCCACAATGGCCCCGGGAGTGCGGATGCCGAACAAGAGCGGTCGGCAGCGGGCCCCCAGTATCATTGACCCCCTGACAGTTCGAGGGGCCCCCGATGGGTCTACCTCCTCCTCGGGGAATCTCGTCAGACTTGAACCTGAGGCCGTTGCGTGGGTGGGCAGACGCTTGCTCGCGTCAGGGTCCCGCCCGTGTCCTCCTGCTCTCCCTTCCCTGGCGATCCTGCCCTCCACCCCCCTTAAATCGTCATTGAGCCGAGTCATCACGGCCCCCACCCGCCGCCTCATTTGGATACGCTGACGTCGCAGACATGCTGGTACCAGCCGCCGGCCCCCCCTACACACACCCCCACCCACCCACCCACCCACCAATCCACGCACCCACCCACCCACCTGTGGGTGGCGGAATCGGGAGGGTCGCGGAGTTGAGGCTGTCTCCTCCTCCTCTTTCTCATCTTCCTCTTCTTCCTCTTCCTCCTCGTCCTCCTCCTCCTCCTCCCGTCGGGCCCCAAGGGGCAAGCTGGTGCGATAAGTGAACTCGGGCCGTGACCGAGGAAAAAGAACTGGGGTTAGGCGCGCTTGTGGGTGGCAGGCGTGGCCATGTGTTCCCGCCGCCCAGGGGTTGCCTAGCCCCCCAGGAGAGAGCAGGACGAGACGGAAACGTGAAAGGGAAGGCAGGTATAGGAAGATATGAGGAGGATGCGGAGGTTCCAGGAGAGAGGACGGTAGATGAATAGGCTGGCTCAGGGCAGCCAAAAACGGCGTGCTGCCCCACGGCCCGTTCGGGTCCCGATCAGCCGTAATTAGCGCGGTCAGCGAGTTACCCGGCAGTGCGGCCAAATCATCGAAATATTTTCGATTTGGCCGCACCTCCCGGGGGACTTCAAATCGGAGGGTCGGGCGCCTTTTCAACCGACAAGGCCGTTGTCGGTGACCCCCCTTTTGGCTTGTCAGTGGCCCTTCGTCGGGCCCCCTTTTAGCTCGTCGGTCGCTTGCCGGTGACCCCCCCTGAGCATGGCGGTGGCTTGTCGGTGATCCCCCCCTCGGCTTGTCGGCGGGCGCTGCTTTGGTAATTGTATGTGTATCGGGAGAGCATCCCCCAGTCAAACACCTAAGGATATCCTAGGGCTTTTTCAGTGATGCTTGCTTTCCTGGAGGGCCTGTTGGCCATTTTCTTGGTGTCTTGAATGCCTCCTGGGCCCCTCCGGCGCCTCTTGGGAGTTTTCTTGGGGGCTGTCTGGTGCCCCTCGAAGCAACGTTAGGCCATCTTGGCGGCGCTGGTGGCCTGTGTCTGTCGTCGAAGAAGCCTTTCAAAGCCTTTGAGGGTCTTGGGGACGCGTCAGGTCGCCGAGGCAGCCTCGAGAGGGGGTTGGGATAGAATAGCAGTGTGTGTCGAGAGGTGGGTGGCATTAGGTGACTTATCGGAACTGTCGCAGGCCGGCCTAGGCATGGTACCACGAGGCAGCGTGCCATGAGGCATAGGTGTGAATGGTTTATATAACTATATATGTGTAGCCGTGTAGAGTAAAGAGTATATGGGAATATTCACAGTACACTAGGGCGTCGTACAGCAAGGTTCGAGCATATTTTATTGGAGAGGTGTAGAGGGGAGTAGAGAGTAGTAGCTTTTGAAAATGCTAAGATTTCTAGTGCGGCATGCCTGTGTAGAGTAGAGAGGGGTGGCTTCGTATAGCGTGGAGTATAATGTGATAGAAGGAACTGGAGTAGGAGAAACAAGGGACAAGTGTAGTGGAGTTGTGCGGCATATGTGGTAAACGTAGTGCAGAGTAGGATTGAGTAGAGGTAGAGAGGTATCGATCATGGTATGAAGCTGGATCTCGCCCATTTTGTTACCGTCGAGTGAACTAGAGTTGGCAACCTATGAGTACAGATAAGTAGAACAAACCAGATCAAATTGGACTAGTTTGTGCGTGCACGGACATTCGAGTAAGCTGTCACAGAACTTGATTGCCCGTCGATACGGCAATTCTGTTCCGCAATCTTCACTGGAGATATGCTGTCAGATGTGATGGCGGTGGCGCATGTCGTGGTGCGGAGGGTTGATGATGATGATGATGATGATGATGATGGTGATGATGATGATGATGCTGATGCTGCTGCTGATGATGATGAGTCTGATTATGCTGCTGCTGATGATGATGCTAATGATGATGGTGCTGCTGATGATGCTGACGATGATGACGATGATGATGCTGACGATAATAATGATTTTGATGATGATACTGATGATGATGACGCTGCTGATGATGATAATGATGATGATGATGCTGCTGATGATAAGGTTGATGCTGCTGCTGATGATGCTGATGATGATCATTATGATGATTATGATTACGATGATACTGCTGATCATGATGATTATCATGCTGATGATGCTGCTGATGATGATGTTGTTGATGATGAGGGTGTTTGTGATGATGATTACGATCATGATTCTGATGATGCTGCTGCTGATGATGGTGATGAAGATGATGATGATGATGATGATGATGATGATGATGATGATGATGATGATGATGATGACGACGACGACGATGATGATGATGATGATGCTGCTGCTGCTGATGATGATGATGATGATGATGATGATGCTGATGATGATGATGATGATGCTGCTGCTGGATGATGGATGAGGATGAGATGAGGCTGATGGGGATGATGATGATGATGAGGACGAGGATGAGGATGAGATGGGAGATGATTATGATGATGATGATGGTGATGGTGATGGTGATGGTGATGGTGTGGTGATGATGATGATGATGCTGATGATGATGGGTAATGATGATGATGATGCTTGCTTGATGAATGTGATGATGATGACGATGATTGGTGATGATGATGATGTTATGAGATGATGATGATGATGATGTATGATGATGATGAATGATGATGATGATGATTGATGCTGATGCTGATGCTGATGCTGATGCTGATGTTGATGATGATGATGATGATGATGGTGATGATGATGCTGATGATGATGATGCTGATGCTGATGATGATGATGATGATGATGATGATGATGATGATGATGATGATGATGATGATGATGATGGTGGTGGTGGTGGTGGTGGTGGTGGTGGTTGATGAGTATGACCACGAGGAGCATTTTGGCACGGACAGCATGATGTAGAGCTGCGCGGCGCCGCGCCATGGTGGCGCAGACTGCCAGCAGGTCTCGCTCGCCACGTCATGGTGCGCAACCTCTGAAAGTTGGTGTGCAGCCCCCCGTCGTGTTCGAGGGTGGTGCTCGCGAGGACACGTGGGCCGGCCGCGGGCTATTGAAGAAGCAGCTGCACGTCGGCTGCACCGCCACGCTCAAAGGGCTCTCCGTGCAGCGGAATGGCCAGAGCTGCGTGGTGGAGGCCTTTATCAGGGAGACGGGCAAGTGGCGCGTGCGGCTGCAGGGCAGCGGGCAGAGGAAAGAGCTGAAGCCCGACCACCTGATCCTGGAGAGCCACGCGGAGGTCGCGCCGCCCTACGACTCCGCTATCGAGGGCCCTCGTGCGGGCGCGGGCGCGGTCCCAGGGCGGGCCAGCGAAGCGGTCCGGCCGGAGGCGGAGGGGAGGCCGACGACGACGCTCGCCGCAGGACGGAGGGTCACGCTGCAGGGGCTGAGGAGTGCGGTGGAGCTGAACGGCCAGGGCGGAGTGCTGGAGGTGCTGATCCCGGAGTCAGGGCGGTGGCGTGTGAAGCTCGACGGCGGGCAGGTCAAGGACCTGAAGCCGGACAACCTGGTGCCGCAGGAGGCGCCGGTGCTGCCAGACGCGCCCGAGTCGGTGCTCAGGGAGGCTGCCGCGCTTGAGGCGGATCTCGACAAGGGCGCGCGCTGGGAGGCTACCCCAGGGGACGCGTGCGGGCCGGGGGGCCGCTTCGTCATCGAAGAGATGCTTGGCGAGGCCAGGGCGCCCCCCGTCCACCGTCCTCCCCAGCGCGCTTACGTTTCCCAGTTGCTCCACCCCCCTCGCCTCTCCCGTGCGCCATTCCCCCGCCCTCCCGCTCTACGTCCCGATGCCTGTCCACATCCACATCCCCGTTCACGTCCTCGTCCCCGCCACCGTGCTTGCCCCGGTCCTGAGTGTTCGATCATGGGTCCTGTGATGAACGCAATCACTCCTGGTTTCACGCCGAAGAGCGCCGGGAACCACCGAAGACCGCGTGAAACCGCTCAAAGACCACCGCAGACCGCCGAGGGCCGCCAGGAGACCGCCGAAGACCGTGGAAGACCGCTCAAGGCCGATGCCGATGGGTACAGTCAAAACTGATTTAGTAAGGACGCACGGATGTCCTTGGCGTTTTCTTTTGCGTCCTTGCCGCAGCCCTTCCCAGCGCTGGCAAGTCGCCGCTTGGAAGTGCCAACTTCGGCGTCCAAGGCCCTTGCGTCCTTACCGCCCGTCTTTACTATAGTCAAGGGCATTAAAAATGCCCCTACCCTGGTTTACGAGGCGCTGTGCGCTGAAACTCCTGTGGGCTGATAGGGTAAACCCTGCGTGATGTGCCGCGTCCTGGCGGCTCTAGGCTTTAGGGGTTCCCAGGAGGTTTACAGACCACGCACTTGTAACCCAGGGTAGGGTCGTTTTTTCATCCCTGAATATAGATTTCGACTGCAACCAAGGGGTGCACGGTGGAGCACGCAGTGTCCCTGCCGTTGGTCCTCCCGGGGCCCTCCTGGGGCAGCTCGGACGCCCCGCCCTCTCGGGGTACCGCAGTCCAGACGCTATCCCCAAATCTGGACATCCAGACTAAGCTTAAGTCGGGCGTGTCCCTCTACAGGAGGAACATTCAAAAATAGCAAAAACATAATACGGGGACGATGTTTCGATTCTTCTTGGCCATTTTGGAGCATTTTTTGGCTATTTTCATTTTTTCTCCAAAATCAGCCTGTAGAAGGACATGCCGGACCTAAGACTAAGGTAGGAAGGGCCCAGGCCTGGCTTTTTCTATCGCTACTTCTTGCGCAGCAGTGCTCCCGCTCCCTTTTGCCTGTATGTCGTCAGTAATTAGTCAGTTTCGCTCGGACGAGTCCCGCGAGCGACGAAGCGTTCGCCCGATACTGGCGCAAAGCTGCAGCTACGTGCTTTGATCTGGCTTGATTGTCCTCACTTGATCGGGGTATCCCCGCCCGTCCGAGGGGACAAAGGTGGTTGGAAGAGAGACCTCACGAGACCACGTAGGCCCAGAGGGCTGGTGGGATTATGATTGTTTCGCAAGGCGAGAAGCCAATGATGAGTGCAATCGGCGCTTGGACCCAGAAGACATAGGGAGGCGCTCAGGGCAGCCAAGACCTGGACCACATGGGCGGATGGGCATTTAGAGCCACTCGTGGGTGGGAGTCCATGGGCAACCGCCGAGCCTCCAACACAGATGGGCAACTCAGGCTGGAACCCCGTGGGGCGGCGACGACGGCGAGGGTAACGATTACCCCACCCACAGTCGGCGATGGCGCTGGCCAGATCCTCGCAACCTTCGGTGGTGACGGCGTTGGCGGCTGGACCCTCCCAACCAGTCCGAATCCCTCCCAACGGAGGAGGAGGACGGAGGACGGAGGACGGAGGAGGAGGAGGAGGAGGAGGAGGAGGAGGAGGAGGAGGAGGAGGAGGAGGAGGAGGAGGAGGAGGGAGGAGGAGGAGGAGGAGGAGGAGGAGGAGGAGGAGGAGGAGGAGGAGGAGGAGGAGGAGAAGGAGGGGAGGAGGAGGAGGAGGAGGAGGAGGAGGAGGAGGAGGAGGAGGGAGGTGGTTGCAGGAGGAGGAGGTGTGTGCAGGAGGAGGAGGAGGAGGATGTAGGAGGAGGAGAGGAGGAAGGAGGAGGAGGAGGAGGAGGTAGGAGGAGGAGGAGGAGGAGAGGAGGGAGGAGGAGGAGGAGGAGGAGGAGGAGGGAGGAGGAGGAGGAGGAGAAGAAGGAGGAGGAGGAGGAGAATCCGAGGCTGTTGGGGCAACACGAGGCCCGACGCACTCTCGCACGCCTCACGTGCACCAGCCGCGGCACATGGACGTAGCGGATGGTGCAGCGCGTGTCCTGTCGTGCCGAGTTGCTCTCTCTCGTGGAGAGCCGCGGAGCGGCATCGGCCCCACCCATCCCTCCTCGGGCCCCCTGCGTCAATTGTTTTCTGCAGTGCCCCCCCCCCCGAATCCCGAGCAAGAACAAGCGGCGTAGGCAGAAACGTCGGGAGCTCCGAACGTTCAGTGTAGGCAGTTTTCTCCTTTCTGACTTCCATCGAGTCTCCCTCCTCTCTGCGCCTTCTTCCGCCTCTCTCCCGATCCGAGGGCTCTCCTCGACAGCACTTGTCGCTCTGGGACCTCTCTCTCTCGCAGAGTGGGCGGCGGGTCAGAGCCGAGCGCAGAGAGTGCGGCGCCCTGCCTCGCAGGGCGTCTTCTCGACCGTCTTCCGCTGCAGGGACGCCCGGGTGAGCGGCATGGCGTACGCCGTGAAGTTCACGCGCTCCAGCGAGAGGACGCGGAAAGGCCTCGAGAGAGAGATCCGGAGGGGATGGGGCGTGCTCTCCATTTGGGTCCAAGCTGTAGTCACCAGAGTCGGTGGCGGCTGCACGACGGCGTGCCCCTTGGAACCCGCTGGCTGCATCGTGCCTCGAGGCAGGCAGCCAGCAGGGGCCGAAGCGCAGCTCTCCGCCTCGCCGTGGCGTCGGTGGCGCGTGCCGCAGCGCGTGCACGACACGAGCAGGTGTGGGCATAGTGGTCCAGGCGCCGCTCGTTTCAGAGAGATGATGAACGTGACGCGTGCCTTGGGACTTCCTCTCGTGGTGTTTGGGCGTCCTCGTCCTCGTGCTCGTGTTCCTGCCCGTTGTCTTCCTGGTCACCTCGCTGCCCTCCCCGTCATCCACGCTGTCATCCTCGTCATCCGCCGCCTTGTCGTCGCCATCGTTCTTCTTTCTTTCCCCCTACGAGCCCAATGGACAACATCGGCGCTTCCCGTTCCTGTCCGGTCAGGTCTTGGAGCGTTCCTGCGAAGAACGTAGATGATCTCGAACCGGATCGCTGTGGCGTCATCTTCTGTTGCGCGCGGTCATGTATTCAGAGCTTCAGCGGCAATGAGTTTTTCATACCTCTGGGTAATTGCTCGGCATGCTCACGGGGCGCCATATTCGGGAACAGCATTGGTATGTGGATCACCTGGGCGGTCAGCCGTCTGGTGACGATGCCTCAAGATCTTTGCTCACGAGATGCATCGATTTGCAAGCGTGTTGGCGGTGAGGGCCGATCCGCAGATTCCTGCCTGCTCGTCCTGACTACTGCGGTGTACGCCTCGGCGGGCGCACGACCCGTATCACTCCTGTGAGGCAGTCTTGGGTGTCCCTTGAGGCGCTCCTCGGCCGTCCAGGGGCCCTCTTACGCCGTCTTTTGGCTCGCTTGGGCCATCATTGGGCTCTCTTGGTCGTATGGTGGGCGTCTAGGGGCCGTCGTGGGGTTGTTTTCGGCCGTCGAAGGGCCTTCTAATGCCGTCTTGGGTCCCTCGGGAAGCCGTTTTGGGCCGTCCTGGGGCCGTCTTGGATGCTTATTGGGCCATCGTGGTGCCCCTTGGGCCATCTTGGGCCCCTCTTGGGGGCCTTTTGGGTCGTCTTAGGGCAGTCGTCGAGGCGTCTTGGGCCGTCTTGAGCTGACGGGCGCCCGAAAAGGCGAGGCGGCGGAAATCATGAACAAAAACAAGGGAACTCACCGATTTTGGCTTCGTCGAACCCTGTAGGGGGCGCTCTTGTGGCCCTTTTGGGTCGACTTGGGGCCACCTTGGTTGTCTTCGAGTTACCTTGGTGTTCTTGATTGCCTGCGTGGGTCATCTTGTAAGCTCGGGACGCAGATCCATTGTTTTTAACTAGGGATCATGACCTTGGTTGCGCGGGTCCAGATGCTCTACGAGAGATCGTGTCCTCGGGTGGGGGGGGGCAATGCATGCAGGTACCGCTTGTATGGACGGGGGAGGGTCCTTGATTCGATTGCAGAAACCCTATCAGACAGCCCTTGGCATCCTTCCATGCCTCAACGTGCACGCGTCACGGTGGCGGGGGTTCGTGCGAAATGCTGAGCACGGAGGGTCGTATTGCCTCGCAATGGCGTATGCCTTCAGATTATCTGTCGCTTTTTAAGGAAGTGTGCTGTCGTTCTCGCGATGAGTGTATGCGCGGGATTGTTCTTCCTCCTAGAGTGTTCTTCCTCCTAGAGTGACTGCTCTCGAAGCGGACTGTCGTGACGTATTCTTTTGTTGCGCGTGGTCCTTAGCCTGAGCTACAGCGACAACCGGTTTTTAATACCTTGTGGGCGATTGCTCTGCCTGCTCACGGGGCGCCATATCCGTGAACAGCATTGGTTCGTGGACCACCTGGACGGTCAGCTGTGTGGTGCCACGAGATGCATCGATTTGCAAGCATGTTGGCGGTGAGGGCCGATCCGCAGATTCCTGCCTGCTCGTCCTGACTGTTGCGGTGTACGCCTCAGCGGGCGGACGACTCGTGCCTTTGTGGCCATGTTGGTCCATATGTTCGCGCGAAGTGCTGAGCATGGAGGGTCGTGTTGCCTCGCAGTGGCGTGTGCCTTCAGATCATCTGTCGCTTCTTCGGGAAGTGTGTTGTCGTTCTCGCGATAAGTATATGCGCGGGAGTGTTCGTCCGCCCAGGGTGACTGCTCTCGAAGCGGACCGCCGTGACGTATTCTTCTGTTGCGCGTGGTCCTTAGTCTGAGCTACAGCGAAGAACCGGTTTTTAATACCTTGTGGGCGATTGCTCTGCCTGCTCACGGGGCGCCATATCCGTGAACAGCATTGGTTCGTGGACCACGTGGACGGTCAGCCGTGTGGTGCCACGAGATGCATCGATTTGCAAGCCATGTTGGCGAGGGTGTGTGTGATTTTCAGATCCCTGCCTGAATGTCTGGGCTACAGTAAGCTTCAGGGGGTGCACGACTCGTGCCCGTGTTGGCATGTTGGTCCATATGTTCGCGCGAAGTGCTGAGCATGGAGGGTCGTTTTGTCTCGCAGTGGCGTGTGCCTTCAGATCATCTGTCACTTCTTCGGGAAGTGTGTGTGTGTGTGTGTTGTCGTTCTCGCGGTGAGTGTATGCGCGGGATTGTTCTTTCCTCCTAGAGTGTTCTTCCTCCTAGAGTGACTGCTCTCGAAGCGGACTGTCGTGACGTATTCTTTTGTTGCGCGTGGTCCTTAGCCTGAGCTATTGCGACAAGCGGTTTTTAATACCTTGTGGGCGATTGCTCTGCCTGCTCACGGGGCGCCATATCCGTGAACAGCATTGGTTCGTGGACCACCTGGACGGTCAGCCGTGTGGTGCCACGAGATGCATCGATTTGCAAGCATGTTGGCGGTGAGGGCCGATCCGCAGATTCCTGCCTGCTCGTCCTGACTGCTGTGGTGTACGCCTCAGCGGGCGGACGACTCGTGCCTTTGTGGCCATGTTGGTCCCTATGTTCGCGCGAACTGCTGAGCATGGAGGGTCGTTTTGTCTCGCAGTGGCGTGTGCCTTCAGATCATCTGTCGCTTCTTCGGGAAGTGTTTTGTCGTTCTCGCGAGTATATGCGCGGGAGTGTTCGTCCGCCCAGGGTGACTGCTCTCGAAGCGGACCGCTGTGACGTATTCTTTTGTTGCGCGTGGTCCTTAGTCTGAGCTAGAGCGAAGAACCGGTTTTTAATACCTTGTGGGTGATTGCTCTGCCTGCTCACGGGGCGCCATATCCGTGAACAGCATTGGTTCGTGGACCACCTGGACGGTCAGCCGTGTGGTGCCACGAGGTGCATTCGATATTCCAGCATGTTGGCGAGAGTGGGCGATTTGCAGACCTCTGCCTGCCCGTCCTGACAACCGCGGTGTACGCCTCAGCGGGTGAAGGTTTCAGGACTGTGGGCATGTTGGTTTATATGTTCGAGCGAAGTGCCAAGTATGGAGGGTCGTGTTGCCTCGCAGTGGCGTGTGCGTTCAGATCATCTGTCGCTTCTTCGGGAATTGTGTTTTGTCGCTCTCGCGATAAGTATATGCGCGGGAGTGTTCGTCCGCCCAGAGTGACTGCTCTCGAAGCGGACCGCCGTGACGTATTCTTTTGTTGCGCGTGGTCCTTAGTCTGAGCTACAGCGAAGAACCGGTTTTTAATACCTTGTGGGCGATTGCTCTGCCTGCTCACGGGGCGCCATATCCGTGAACAGCATTGGTTCGTGGACCACGTGGACGGTCAGCCGTGTGGTGCCACGAGATGCATCGATGTGCAAGCCATGTTGGCGAGGGGTGGTGTGATTTTCAGATCCCTGCCTGAGCGTCTGGGCTACAGTACGCTTCAGGGGGTGCACGACTCGTGCCCGTGTTGGCATGTTGGTCCATATGTTCGCGCGAACTGCTGAGCATGGAGGATCGTTTTGTCTCGCAGTGGCGTGTGCCTTCAGATCATCTGTCGCTTCTTCGGGAAGTGTGTGTGTGTGTGTGTGTTGCCGTTCTCGCGATGAATGTATACGCGGGATTGTTCTTTCCTCCTAGAGTGTCCTTCCTCCTAGAGTGACTGCTCTCGAAGCGGACCGCTTTGACGTATTCTCTTGTTGTGCGCGGTCCTTAGTCTGAGCTACAGCGAAGAACCGGTTTTTAATACCTTGTGGGTGATTGCTCTGCCTGCTCACGGGGCGCCATATCCGTGAACAGCATTGGTTCGTGGACCACCTGGACGGTCAGCTGTGTGGTGCCACGAGATGCATCGATTTGCAAGCATGTTGGCGGTGAGGGCCGATCCGCAGATTCCTGCCTGCTCGTCCTGACTGCTGCGGTGTACGCCTCAGCGGACGCACGACTCGTGCCTTTGTGGCCATGTTGGTCCATATGTTCGCTCGAACTGCTGAGCATGGAGGGTCGTGTTGCCTCGCAGTGGCGTGTGCCTTCAGATCATCTGTCGCTTCTTCGGGAAGTGTGTTGTCGTTCTCGCGATAAGTATATGCGCGGGAGTGTTCGTCTGCCCAGAGTGACTGCTCTCGAAGCGGACGTCCGTGACGTATTCTTTTGTTGCGCGTGGTCTTTAGTCTGAGCCACAGCGACAAGCGGTTTTTAATACCTTATGGGTGATTGCTCTGCCTGCTCACGGGGCGCCATATCCGTGAACAGCATTGGTTCGTGGACCACCTGGACGGTCAGCCGTGTGGTGCCACGAGACGCATTCGATATTCAAGCCATGTTGGCGAGGGGGGGCGATCTGCAGACCCCTGCCTGCCCGTCCTGACAACCGCGGTGTACGCCTCAGCGGGTGAAGGTTTCAGGACTGTGTGGGCATGTTTGTTTATATGTTCGAGCGAAGTGCCAAGTATGGAGGGTCGTGTTGCCTCGCAGTGGCGTGTGCCTTCAGATCATCTGTCGCTTCTTCGGGAATTGTGTTTTGTCGCTCTCGCCATGAGTGAGTGTATGCGCGGGAGTGTTTTTCAACCTAGGGTGACTGCTCTCGAAGCGGACCGCCGTGACGAATTCTTTTGTTGCGCGTGGTCCTTAGTCTGAGCTACAGCGAAGAACCGGTTTTTAATACCTTGTGGGCGATTGCTCTGCCTGCTCACGGGGCGCCATATCCGTGAACAGCATTGGTTCGTGGACCACGTGGACGGTCAGCCGTGTGGTGCCACGAGATGCATCGATGTGCAAGCCATGTTGGCGAGGGGGGGTATGATTTTCAGATCCCTGCCTGAACGTCTGGGCTACAGTACGCTTCAGGGGGTGCACGACTCGTGCCTGTGTGGCCATGTTGGTCCATATGTTCGCGCGAACTGCTGAGCATGGAGGATCGTTTTGTCTCGCAGTGGCGTGTGCCTTCAGATCATCTGTCGCTTCTTCGGGCAGTGTGTGTTGTCGTTCTCGCGATGAGTGTATGCGCGGGATTGTTCTTCCTCCTAGAGTGTTCTTCCTCCTAGAGTGACTGCTCTCGAAGCGGACTGTCGTGACGTATTCGTTTGTTGCGCACGGTCCTTAGTCTGAGCTACAGCGAAGAACCGGTTTTTAATACCTTGTGGGCGATTGCTCTGCCTGCTCATGGGGCGCCATATCCGTGAACAGCATTGGTTCGTGGACCACCTGGACGGTAAGCTGTGTGGTGCCACGAGATGCATCGATGTGCAAGCATGTTGGCGGTGAGGGCCGATCCGCAGATTCCTGCCTGCTCGCCCTGACTGCTGCGGTGTACGCTTCAGCGGACGCACGACTCGTGCCTTTGTGGCCATGTTGGTCCATATGT